TTGCCCGATTCAAACTTCCAGCAGTCTGTTACTTAGTTTCATTAAGTTGTTAATGACTCGGTTTAAATAACCAACTTGAGCATGTTGCGTTCGTTGGTGTAAATAGGGCATTAAACACGTCTAAAACCTGATCAGTTAAACTCATTCTGAAATTGTTTTCTTCATAAAGCCGCTTACTGATTTTTAGGTCAAAAAATGTAGCAGGAATGATAGCACACTGGTTAGGGCTTAAAATCAGTACATAAAACCAGTTTCAGCTTCGCTCTTCTGATTTTAATTTTTTTTTAAAGTTAACATGGTTTAATTAATGAAAATTACTGAAAAGCAGTGCGACCTTGGACACATGTGCCGAGGAACAATACCGAGTGGATGATGAGCAGCTAGCAATGAGAAAAGAAGACTGGAAGAAACTAAAAATTAGAAAAACTGAATTTTATGCATACTATTGGGTGAAGTTTGCATCGATTTATATTATACTAAATTTTGAGTTATCTGTATCAAAAACGCTCCCTGCTCGTCCACTGCTGCTTAGATCATTTACCCTGGAGCAAAGTGTAAATTGGAATGAAATAACCAAAGCTATTCCGTTGGAGCTAGTGAATCTTGTGTTAACTATTCGTGTTCATTTTGCCGGAATAAATCTAGCAGAATGGTGTTAAAACCCCTGAGTGTCAGCAAGAATTAATAACAGTTTTCACAGTGGCGATATTGGCATTTTGATGTTTTCACTATCTAGTTCTAATTAGCCATTCATAATTTGTTAAATTGAAAAAAAGGAAATTTGACTCTTTTTATTTTGAATTGCATTTTTGTCTTCTTTTACGCGAAAAAAGAAAATATGTTCTCAAGACCATTTGAACAACTCTATAGGAAGAAATTCAAAAAAGAAAGAAAAATATCAGCAACATTTTTGGCCTTCTTGATTCTCTGAGAAAACGTTCCCACTTAACCGAAGAAAATCACTTTTTTTCATTGTAATCCAAAGTAGCACTTATAAATAAATAACAGTTACTTGAAAGTAAGTAACTTGGCAAGCAAGCATTTAAAAATAAGTAAAAATTTCCGTTTCCCTAAATTTAAGTGACTGACTTCAAGAATTGTCTTTAGAATAATCATCATAGAATCAACGTTGAAACAGCTTCTAATAACTAGGTGTGAAACAGCTTAAAACTTACCCAAATGTTTATCAGTTAGTGAATAATTTTAAAAAGGTCATAACCAAGGACCAAGGCTGAAAGTATGGTTTGAAACCGAAAAGGAAAGATCCACATCAACCCAGCTGTTGGAATCACCTGTAAACTTTCGAGAAATTAAAGAATATAGAAGCTCTGCTATGTTTATTTTACTGAAATCACTTTCATGAAAAATCATTGGAAATTTACGCAAGGAAAGTAGAAGTTTAAATACAGCTTTGAGATCGTGTAAATACGGCATAATTTGTCAAAATTAGAGTGAGATAGAGACTTTGACGAATGACGTTCTTAATTTTGAAGTTTCATTGAAGAAGTATTTGGCGGCATCAACAAAACTCTTGACTAAAGCAAGGTGCATAGACTTCGATTACTGCTGCGCATTCACTGATGTACTCGTACTTTAAGGGTGAAAATAACCCCTACCAGTCAATACAGTTTTTAAACAAGGTTCATTTCAATAATCATAAATTTTTAAGATTCAATCATTTATTTTAAACCTAACAGTAATTAAAATAGTAATGATCACAAGTAAACGTAGAAAGAAAAGCCCTTACGTAACGGTCACTCGTGGATCCGTATGGCTTTGGGCTTGGAGAAAGTTTTTGTGTAGTAGAAAAGAGTATGCGTATCAAAACATAATCGATGATGTGCTTACTCGATGTTTTCTTTTACAATAGTAAAAAAAGCCATGAAAAGGAACTGAAAATTAAACACAATGGTGTTTGTCTACAAATGCATGACGTATTATCTATACCCCGGCTCTACTAAGAAAGAAAAAAGATAGCACAAACGCTATGGTTTAGTTTAAAACTTTTTGTTTAATATACTCGTAGTAAACTCAATTGTTATTTCTTATCATGAAAAGAACGTAAGAGCGCACTCATGATTAATGCCCATTCATTTGTGATTTACATGCGTGTTAAACCACTTGGGGAATAAATTAGTGTCATCTACAAATAAATGAAAATCAAAAAAATTAGAACAATGGTGAAGGTCCTTAAATGTAACAAGAAAAATATCGGTCTGAGGACTGACCCCTGAGGAACACCGCATGAAATATCAACAGCGATATAAGTTACACCATTTACTGTTAGTAACTGTTTGCAGACGATTCGCAAGATTATGAGCTAAACCACTGATTTGCAATGCCACATATGCCACAGAACTCATTCAATTTTTTTTAACGATGTCTCATGATTTATGGTGTCAAATGCCGTACTGTCCAAAAATATACCACAAGAAAAATCCCTCTCGTCAATTGCCCTTTGAATTTTATCAACAATACTAAGAATAGCATGATCAGCGGAATGCTTGGCCCTAAAACCAAATTGATTATCAAGGAATAATTTTTTTTCTTTTCAAGGAAATCAACTAATCGAGATCTATTGCACATATTAAGCTCTTCAAGCAATTTATTAAAAACAGACAACAAAGAGAATAGTCGATAACTGGATAAACAGGGCTGGGATCCATTTTTTATTAACTGGTAATACATTTGCTTATTTAAAGCTGTCGTGGCACTATACCAGTCTCAAAGGAGGCATTGAACAGAACCTCTAGAGGCTTGGATATAACAGTTTTCAAAATTTTGATAATAGTGACAGGTACACTAAAAGGACCAGTAGCTTTGCTACATTTAAGTTTAGTACTTTCCGTTTCAATTTCCTCTGCTGTTGTAGGAGAAATAAAAATGCTATTACAAAAAGAAGTTTTGAAAAACTCTAAAGGAGACATTTTAACATTTGGTATTGAGCAAGCAAGGTCCTTTCCAGTATTAACTACTCCTAAAAAAATCTGTTTTCTTGCCACCAGAATGATTTATTTCAGCCATAATTTCCCAGACTTTAGTTTTTCTATAATTTCTAAGGCTTAAGTTTGTCATATGCACACAACCTTATTAAGCGGGTAAAGCGTCCAAAAACCTGAGACCGACAGTAAGTTCAATTACCTCATTGGTACTTAATTTCGCCATTTTAACAGGCAAATTTGAAAAACAAGGCATTAAATTTTGCGACGTAAGCGTTCTCAACTTCATTTTCTTTTTCTTAAAAAGTCTGAACCTTAGATAAATTGGAACAAGCAATGTTTGAAATCTTTGCAAACTAATAACGTTATTTCACAACGGAAGATATAACATATGGCACTTACCAGTAAAACTAGATTAGCAAATTGTGTTTGTCTGACGGGTACGTATCGTTCCTGTTACGTGTTAATTTTTATTTGAATTTTCTATATGGGTATTAATTTTGCGATTTTGTACATTAGCGAGAAACGCGAAAATAATTACCAATAAGGTGAGACTATTATAGGATTATTACACTGTAATACTATCATTAATAATACAATTATAATAATAACTATTTTATTCACAATTTTTATTTCTCTTATGGTCATTTATACACATGTACTTAAATAACATATCAAACTAAAAATAGAATTTAAAATTTCAGGTGTCTAATAGTCTTAGTCTAAATTTAGTCTTCAAGTTCTTTCTCTTGATCCGACATGTATTTGGAATCTTCACAACTTGATATCTGCTGATGGCTGGGGAGCTTCTTTCTCTTTAGCTGCGAGCATCCTGACAAGGTTTTCCAGCATTTCTGTTTGCGTATCAATGCTAACGTTCAACCTATCAACTCTAAAACAAATGTTAAAGAAATAGGGGGATTTACACCAGACGTTTCCATGCAATCTTTTAATTTGTTAAATATAGTTGGGGATGGTGGAAGGAATGAGTTGTAATCACAACTATTATTAGTTTTACAAACAACAAAGGCGCTTTCCTTAAAACAATAAAAATGACCATAAAAGGAGCGAAAATTTTAGTCATCGTCAATTCAAAAATGATACGCGCAGTCTGAGAGATATGCGTAAGGTAAAACTAGCAAATCATCTTGAAAATAGAATAAGAACGACTTGAAACAAGCTTGTAAAGAATTTTGTTAAAAGGGCAACGAGTCCTTAGTTTTGCTTAAGTACACCAGGGGCACCCAACGAGGATATAGTTCAAAACCACTCAACATAGCATTGTTGAACGTATTTTAGTATTTAAACGGTAGATATAGGCATATTTTTATCCCCTAAAAACTTTTCATCTGTTCGGATTTCCTAGCTGAAAGTCTAGTGATCCGAAAATCATAGGGATCAAAACTTACCTTTTCGAAAATTTCAGCCAGGAAAAGGCTCCCGAAAATTCTAGGTGGCCTTTTTTGGGGTAAATATCCGTTTAAAATGGGTAATTATACCATTTTGTAGATGTTCGAAAATCCTAGGAGAGGCAGGCAAGCAAGAAATTTTACAACAAATGTCCCGAAAATTCTAGTTCTCAAATCGTCTTCCGAACAGATATTTTCCCGAAAATTGCCGTTGGGTGCCCCTGGTACACCGTAAAAGGGAAGTATGCGTGAGAAATAATGTGATCTACATGTCACGAGCACTAGACAAGGAAAAAATCTGAGTCATCGACAGGAATTGAACCTATGACCTTCAGTACAACGGTCGGATAATCTAACCACTGAGGTTATGTATGTGATAAATAAAGAATGATGGTAAATTTTAAGCTCGGTGAAGAAATGAGAAATCATATGATCAACATGTCACGTGCGCATGACAAAGTTTGCCGCCATTCCCCAATCTTCACTAAAAAGTCAGTTGGTTGGACATGTTTAGTCAGTAATACTGAGGCCCTGTGATTGAAGTGACGTTTTAGTATTAAAGACTAAGTTAAAAGGATAACTCGTCTTTATATCGAGTTAAACAATTCTGAGGGGCAATTGGCAGCCTGCTCTCCAATAAGAAATGGGGCAGTTACGTTTGCTCCAGGGCGTAAATTCTGTTAGACATGGCAGCAGCGGTTTGTTCCAAGCATCCTTCATTATCTTCATCCAAAGAAGAATTGTCCTTCATTCCAGATATCATACGACGAATTTGCTGAAAGACCACAAATTTCATGCCATTAAACTTATATGCTGCAAAGTCGGTTAATTAAAAACTAAATAAACATCATAGGAAATTTGTCTTGTCAGGGAAGCTTTGTTTGGAAGTGTTTGTTTTTTTTTTTTTGCCTGACCAGCGTTTAAAGGGGTTATGTCAAGAGCTGCGCATGTGCAAGATTTGAGACTGTTCTGTTGATATTCTCAACAATCTGGCATATTGAGTTTAGAAAACCTAACGGATGTTTGTCAGTAAACAACAATACGCAGTCCTATTTTTCCTGAGTTCTTGTTCACGTAATAAAGTATTTTCCCCTTTTAGTGTTACTTCGGACGGACATTGTCAATTCGACGCCACATGCCTATATATAGTGCTAGACCTCTTCTTCGCACGTTGTCGAACACAGGTGATTACAGTAAGTGCTTTACTTAACTCGCCGCTCTGGAATTAGCACTTCCTCCGAACAATCAACGCATTACCAAGCGCCTCCTCAAATTATATAAACGTAGCTTCACAACTCGACAAAACGGGTGTTTTTTATTTGAGTACTTTGTTTCAGGAGCCGGGATTCATGATGTGGTTTGTCTGTAAATTGTCTCCTGTTGTACTAACCGTGATTCCTTTTCGCCATCCACAAGCCTTTTTGTTGGGATATTTTGTGATGCTTGGTTTATGAATGCGGCGAAGGAAGCAATTTGGAAGACGTCGCTCAAATGTAAACACATCTTCAATCTAAATAAAAGCCAGAAGAATGAGTAAAGCATAAGATCTTTTCACATTAAAATCAGCAACTTGAGAAAGTAAAGTGACCGTATTTTAGTAAGCTATTTCACGATGGCGTGGAGTTTGGAAACAACTATAAGTATGCTTTAGCATCCTTCACCTCTTATCGATGCGAGTAAGGGCTAACTCGATCTTTCTTCATTTAAATTCCTTTGTACGTTTTGCTCTTCTTCTGTTAGCAGTTTTCATTGTCAAAAATGGCGCCGAACATGCGCTTTACGACGACATACAAATGGTTAAGTCATATCTCAAATTTCTTGCATCGAAAGGTTACTGGAATACATTCTTATTTATTTTATGGGTATTCCAGTCCTTGTGCTATAAGAAAAGTAAAACAAAATTGGAAACATGGCCCATTTTATAATGATAATGATACTGATAACGATAACGATGACGGTAATAATAATTGTAGATTTAATCAGTTCAAGCATTGCCATTGAAGTATTTGTGAATAGGAACTGCGAAAGGAAGCTCAAGTGTGCATGCATTCCTCGTTATTGTTTGGAACTCCATTCGCGATGGGCTCCATAAACTCCCCAAGAGAGCTTTTAAAAAACATGCCAATAACATGTTGCTTTCGATATTAGAGGCCAAGGACGATTACGATGAAGCGCCTATTCTTCTTCCGAAAATAGCAATGAATCGTTTAATTCAGTTTTGCAGTTATATATACCTGGTAATTAACTGTAAGTTACAAATTGTTGATTTTGTAAATAATATTTATTAGCTATATTTACTGATTCATTTTGAATTAACCATTCTAATTTACCACTGACTGCTGTACCCCTGTACCTGTCTCGACTAGCACCTGCTATTTGCGGGCGGTAATGGACTCCATGTATGTCATGCCCAATTGTTAAAAAAGTCGTACGCCTCTGTATTATTTGATACTCTTGCCTTATTTGAAAATTATTCGTTTGAATTTCAAAACCCTACCTCGATTGCCAAAAGTTTCAGTTCAGCGTTTCGCTGAACGGATTCAATATCTCCTACGGCCAGACCAATCTGTTAACACAAGATAAACTGTTTAAACAACTGACTAATTGTTAAATGGTAAATAAAATCATCTTTTTATTAAGCTTGTCATGCCCAATCCCTGTTTTTCAAATGGAGGATATCGTTATCGGACTAAGTAAACGTTTTTGCATGTGGGTAAATGGCCATTAATTAACCGACCTGATCAGATCAGTTGGTTAGATATTAATGCTAACATTAATGTATAAAACAAAAAGCAGAGGCCCCAAAATTGAACTCTGAGCGACGCCAAAACGGATGGCTCGTCTTGAGGACATGTCATTTCCGAATTATCAATCAACCAATCAATCAATCAGTCGATTCATAAACCGAGACCGCGTTCAGTCATTTATGTTACCAGTTATACTGAATAAATGCTAGCATACAAAGGCCATTTTAGAAAGCGTGCAAATAAAAAGGGAATAAGTTTATACCACAAATTTTAGAGCCCCCTTTTTGGGAAGAAAATGAAGAAAATTTGGCAATGTATTAGGAGCAATTCGTCACGGTGTAAGATGTTTTCTCTCATAGTAAATATTAAGAACTAAGAATTTATTTTTCGGTAGTGATGTTACCAGTTCATGGAAAAACTTTAAAATGTTAATTAATATTTACGCCAGGAAAAATAGCAACAAACCAGTAAATTCATGAAGACTATCGGTATCAGGACACAAAAGAGGGCGAAAACAAATCTTGTGAGTTCTGGAAGATATAAATTCTTGTCAACAAAGAAAGTGTTGTACTCCAACTCCCCAATCATCATATCCAAGACCTTAAGTAAAGCCAGTTCTACGCTGCCAAACGGGTCCTGAAACAAAGAGGAAATATGTCCAAACCACTGATCAGAAGCTCGTATCAGACATTCTCCACCCCTTCTCATATCAGACGGGCTACCCGGAAACCAAAAGTCTGGCTACAACTTCCGATCAGAAAATTACTGTAATTATCACTCGGACCTTGCACTAGGCAAGTTTTATGTTTGACATGGATCAACCTCACTATATCCGCACACCACAGGGACCGATCGAGTTTGCATTAATTGTACAAAAGTTTGGAGTTTGTTTGTAATAAACAGTTTAAACCTCCATATATGTGTGATGTATCTTGTATTTATCAAAAAGTAAATCCAGTAAGAGATTAATAAAAGTGGTTGCAACTAAGCTGATCGTTCATGAAAATGGACTCTCGTAAACCCCATGTGCTACATTTATTGAGAGAATAATCGCTTCGAAAGCTTTTAGCAAAAAGCATGGCATATGTTGTTAATTCGCAGCACAGTACGTACATTATCACAGATCAAGAAGCTGGTGATCAGCGTATATTTTATGTATGCCTAATAAAATTTGATCAAGTTATTAATTGCAGTTATTGAAGATAGAGAACACAAAAAAAAACATAACGCTGATTATTCACAAAGGCGTGGTGGTCGGCCACGAGAGCTTTAGATTACACGGGCTTCATAATGCTGGTCGTAACTTGAGTATAACTTGTCTTCCCTGTACGGTCTCTTCCCAGGTCTTCTTGGTTAATGCATTTCGGTGATGTAGCACGAACGACTGGTAGACCACGTGACTCGAAAATACATACGCCGCGAGAGAATAATGAGGCCTAGCTAACAACTGTCGTCGCAACGGGAGCGTCAACAATACGCCAATTGCACATCTCCCATAATGCACCTAAATTGCCCCCCCCTCCACCCCTCCAAAATTTTGCATAACCTTTTGTTTGTCATTTCTCCTGAGTATTAAAGCCGTCCCAAGAAGAAATTGAAAACAATGCTTTTGTAAAAATTGAGGAGGGGGGGAGGGGGGGGCAAATAAGGTGCATTATGGGAGATGTGTATGTGGCGTATAGTGGCGTTCCTGGTTTGTGCATATTTCTAAAAGTTTCTTAATTACGCACCTGATCGTTGTCTTCAATCTTTAATCCTGCTCTTGAGGCCTACATATGATTAATGAAATAATGCGAGTACATTAGTACCAAGACATCCTGCGTTGTTCCCCTTAGAAGTGTGACGTCACGTTACTATGGCAGCAAAGTTTTTAGATAACAACAATAGAGAGTTCATTTAACAGCAAAAAAGTAATAGGTTTAGCTTAGCCAAAGAACAACTTTGCACGTGCGTCACGCTTTTTTGTACATTTCTTAGCGGTTGTTACACGACTGCGACATGAAACGTCCTAATTTTACTCGCCCGCTTTATCGAGTAAGAGAGCACAAAACAAAAAAAAATTCTTTTTCTTTTTCTAAACTTAGATACGGTCCTTTCGGATTCAACCCAGAAAATTTCGCCAACACTTGACAAATTAAATAAAATTGAATAAGAACGATGAAGTTTGAAACGGTGCGAGTCCACTTTTTAGGTGACGGTTTCATTTGCCGTCATCCAGACATTTTGCTATCATGGTAACGTGACGTAACGACTTCTCTTCTCTATTATAGCATTGTATCATTGTAATAGGACTTACAGCCTGTAATCGAGTTGTAAAAAAAACTATAGCAAAATGTGTCTGTCAGAACAAGATACGTACTTCAATCCCAACAATGTTGGAACAATTTCTTCTAAAATTGCCCTGCTAATGAACCTTATCATTTTCAACGTTGTTTAATAAATACTTACGTTCGCCTCACGAGACAGCAGAACATGAAATGCCAAAGCGAACGCCAACAGGAGAAGAAAAAACATGGCAAGAACCTGTAAAATTTACAATGTCGACGTTGGTAATAAGTCAGAGTAAGCCTGTTTAAATTAATCTTTTTTGTTTGCTGCTTAACGTGGAGGTTTACGCACAGTCAAGTCTCTAGGGAGGATCTCGGGAGGAATCACTAGCTGTTATAAAGTACAGTATACATGTCACAGAGTGTTCCATTAGTAAAACTTCGTTTCATTGTAGGTCGCAACGTGTGGAACAAAATGTGGATCTCTTTCGTAATCTCCACCAATTTCGATATACTAAAATATAATTTCACTTTATAATTCTCCTGATTGTCGGACTTTTGATTGAGAGACTCCAACACAATAATTTTCGAAAATTATTGTGTTAGCCGAGTCTCTCAGGTCAAATAAGTTTTAATTATTAATGGGGGGCAGGGATTTATGTGCTATGTTTTACATTTTTGGCTGATCAGTTGGAAAGTGATATACTGTCATGTTGTTCTTTTCTCTTACTCCCTTTCACTCAACTTGACCTGTAGTAAAATTGTTACCTGCTAGCTGAGTTTTGATTTCTTTGTTGATGCTATTTATCATGTATGCAATTCTTTGCCGTGAAAGTCAAAAACAGTTACAAGCACAAACGCTGTCTAAAGTTTTCCTGATTTCAAGGAATTAACATCTGTCATTTCATTTTACAGAACTCTTCCAACAAACAAAGCGTCAGCTAGGGTAGCAAACGTTACCTAAGTATTTAATGTCAATATATTTTAATTATTTTTTTAAACAAATAAAGAGAGTTTACCGTTAAAAGAGTTCGAAGCACCTCAAACATCATTGTAATGTAGATACCCGTCTTAAGCAAACTGAAGAGGATGAAAGAAAATATTTTTGTATTCAGCTGAAAGAAGTTGATGTACTTCAATTGTTGTTGTTGTTGTTGTTGTTGTTTTGTTTGTTTGTTTCTTTTTTAATGATTGCACTGCCTCGGACTAATGTTTTAACTAACCGTATTAAATTAATACTGAATCAATACTGGTAACTATATAACTACACGCGTAACTGATGCCAGGTCTCAGGCGAGTAGCACACTAATCTTTGTGTGACCTGTGGTTCATTGGTTTCCTGTCAGACGGTTACCTTTTTGTACAAATAATTTTACGTTTGTCGGGATGATTTTTAGCAAGTATGCCCAACAACTATAAATTGCGCCGGTATACAGCATACTACATACAATGTAAAAACAGATAATTAAAGCTAATTTACCTTTGCAGATGCGACATTAGTGTAAGATACGCCAGTAGTGTTGCTATAATTGCGAAGGAAAGTTCAAACCCTTCACTGCGATTTATAAAATGGCTGACAGACACAAGTGCAGAAAAGAAGGTCATTAATTCCAATGTATTAGAAACGTCCATCCAATAACTCCCCTTCTGCACGAGAGGAAGAAGAAGAAGCGAAGATTAATAAAAACAACAACGTTAAGTTGCTCAGAGAATTTAGTTTTTATAGAAGCATGGGATATTGTAAGTTCTAGAGCTTTTCCAGTAGACAATATATGAACTCTAAACGAGCTAAAATTTATCACTGGTTTTGTCTGTGCAGTGAAAGAAATACTGTAGCATAACCGAAGCATGCCGGAGATATTGTACGTTCTGGAGTCTTCTAGACAATAGATAAACTCTAAAAGAGCTTCAATTTATCCTTGGTTTTGTCTATGGATTGAATGAAACACTATAGCAAAATCTTTTAAAAGAAGCCTCTAGGCTGCCTTCGAGTAATTCTTTTAGGGTGTTGCGTCAACCGTCTTGTTTGTTGAGACTTCACACCAATTAGAGAGAAAGTAAAATACCCATTGCGCACCTTTTATGCAATCTAACTATTATCAGTTTTGAATAAACGACCGACAGCATATTAAAACTTCCCCCTCCCCCCTCTGCATGCGGTCTCTTCCTCCCACAGTTATGAAAATGGGACTTGAGTACACCGTTTGCAACAAGAGGTGATATGGACTAAAAAAAAAAACAATGAATAAAAGACTGACCAAAGCAATAACTGTGAACTTATCAACAACCAGAGATGCGGGTTATAAAGGAAACAATGAAATTAGAGCTATAGAAGAGAAGTACACCACCCAACATGTAAATATTTTTAATGAGGATAAAACGGCACGTTAAGTCATACTAACCTCGACATAAATTCTATAAATATGACTCAACAAAGAGGATATTGATATAACGGCTGTCACACCTCTGATTGGCTCAAGATTCTCTGCACAGACATTCTATTACGAAAAAAAGCGCTGCTCAATATTGCTCAATAATAAGCTTAATACAGATACTGAGGGGGCCTTAAAAAGGGTCTGCATGAACGAGGTGTACGTATTAAGCGGGTTAAATTTAGAGAAAATGTAAGGGCTTTCTTTCCCCAGGGACAAAGCGAGCTGTTCGTAATAATGAGGTGTCCGTATTATTAAGCGCGGGTGTCCGTAAACCGACGTTTGACTGTAGTACCTATTTAAGCATCCAGAACGAACTGTGGATTAATGCTTCTCTTGAATTCTTGAAGCGCATTATCTAATTCTAATTTTAAAAGGGACAAATAGCTTGTATGTGTTTCAGTCTTTTCATCATATATTGATAATACATTGACTGGTTTTAATGTTATGCCTGCAAAAATCAACCAAAAATGTACTATGTTTAGTTTTTCCTGAAAAAATTTGTCTGATATCTTCTCCTTAGCTCTATGGAGTGTTTTCACAAGACGTCACGGCGGCCATATTGGTGTCCCAAAACAATGAAACGGCGGCCGTGTTAGTGTCCCAAACCAGTCCTGTGGGAGTTGAACTCTTTTCTTATGCAAACGCTTTCTTTTGTTCCAATAAATTTGCAGAGATGCTGGCCACGTGAGTAAAAATGCTCTATTGGAGCATTTAGTGGGTATGATCCAACAGTGGCTTCACAAAATTGACCCGAAAAAAAGCAACATCATCATAACATGGCTGTTTTAAGGCTTCACTGAAAACTGCCGAGCTAATTTTGACAGTACGTGAGAAATTTTTACTCTTATAACATCTAAATCTGACGTCATCAATGTTGCCTCATAGAAGGTGGAGTCATTACAACTTTTATTTGTTTTATCACATCGGCCATACTAATCTTTTACTTTTCTTCCAAGGGAGTAAGGCTAATACCAAATAAGGAAGCAGAACACACCTGAGAGAAAAAAGTAGTAGAATTGCCAACTTCGTCTATTTTCAAAGATTCCAGACATAACACGAAGATTGTCAGGTTTATGGTGTAGAATATGTAAAACACAGCAGCCAGAAGAAAGAATTTTATAATGAGAGCTTGGCTGCGAATAAAATACAACAACAAACCGCTTTAATGGAAGTAGAAATTTCCTTCATTTAATATACCGTAAAATTCCGAAAATAAGACCCTCCAAATATAAGCCCCCCAAACCGGTAACGCAAAAAAACCCTCCGCTAAATCGCCCCTCCAAATATAAGCCCCCCGGGGGCTTGTACTTGGAAAATTGCCCTCAAATACAAAGTAAAACAAAGCAAAAACGGTAAATTTACTTCCAACTATAAGGCTAGCCCTATCAATTTTGAAACGCAAATTTCCCTCCGTGGATAAGCCCCTCCGAATATAAGCCCCTCCAAAAATAAGCCTCTCAAAAAGAGCCCCGGGGCTCATTTTCGGAATTTTAAGGGAACACTTAGTTCTATAATTGCATACGAAATCACTCAAATGCTCACATTGATGGAATGAATGACCTGATTTTGGTAACTTTTGTAAAAACGGAGGAGTTTTTTTGAAGGGTAATGCAATTGGAGTTTCATTGAATAAACCGCCTGACCACAAAGTGCAACTACTTAAGGCTGTACATACTTTCCATCATTAAATTTACTTTAATATTTAGTTCTGTGCGTGAGAACAAGAGAGGAGAAGTGTAACGTCACGTTACCATGGAAACAAAATTTCTGGGTCATAACAATAGGGAGCTTAAGCAACGACGCTGGCGACGGCAAAGAGAACTGGAAAAAAGCAATAGGTTTATATCAGCAAAACAACAACTGTGCACGTGCATCACGCTTTTTTGTACGTTTCTTCGCCGTCGTTGCACGACTGCGACTTGAAACTTCCTAATTTCACGCACCGCTTTACGAAGTAGGCGAGGACAACGCAAAAATTTTCCTTTTCTTTTTCTAAACTTTCGGATTTAACCCCCGAAAATGTCGCCATCATTTTACAAATACAAAGAAATTGAATAAGATGATAGAAATTTGAAACAGTTGTTTCGGTTTGTTGTCATCCAGAAATTTTGCTACCATGGCAACGTGACGTAACGACTTCTCCTCTCTATACAGTTGAATTCAATACGATGTATGGAATTTAACCCTTAAACGTAGACTTTCATGCTATAATTTGACTTTTCTGACCTCGTTTACGTTCCGACAAAGTGTGTGAACTCGCTGCATCGCTTCTGAATGAGAATTGCTTTTCCGCGTCGGCAAAGTGTTGTGATTTGTTCAAATTCATCGGATAAACCTATCAGCTGCAGAGCCGAAAATGCATAATCGGGAGTCCGCTGTAAGTCATTTCCTATCTGCAGAGCGGCATTTTGTTGTTGTTTTTTTTATTGCTTTTACTGATAATAATTTTTGTTCGCTGGTTGACTGTGAATGGTACTTGTCGTGCTGTAAAGTCATCACTCGTTCCTAAATATTTTAAAACTAGATTCTGCCAAGTTTATGTTCAATTTGTCATAGCAACGCATGCTAACCAGTCAGAAATAATTTCCGCCCTTTTCGCTCCATTCCTCTATCACCTTTCCCTCCGTGACGTAACAGACGTTGGAAGCGACTAAACCACTCCTTGCGGATCCTTAAGGTTTAAACTGAGAGAAAGAATATTTCAATAATAAGATAATTTTCGACTTACCGTTTTAATTTCATGAGTTCTCTAGTCAAGGGATGCAGAATAAGTTCTCTGTGGCCACACTTCAACATCTCCTTAACAACAATAGTATTAGTAACTAATATCAAAGAATTCAAAAAAGAGTTTTCTCTTCAGTCTCCGAACCCGGTTTGCCTCTATCTAAGCTGACAACATTCAAGGCTAGTCTGGAATAATTTACAATGGCATATGGAATTCATGAAAAATGGGAAAGAGGGAGAATCTTAGGGCGTTGGCCGGAATATGTGAATTTCACCAAGGTTATTTTTAGAGGATGTATTCAAACGGAATCTAAAGGAATTTTTTTGGACGCCGGCATATTTTAATTGATTATTTGAAACGTCTCTTTGTGCGACTGCCTTAAAGGGCCATTGCCAACCTTAATGCACTGCGCGCCGAGAACACAAATCCCGCGAATTTCGTGGTACACGAAATTACTGATAGTTGTGAAAGATTTGGTATCCGTTCGAACTGCTCTAGCTATCCATTCGAAAAAAAATTGTCCCTTCGAACGACTCAGGCTACCCGTTCGAGAAAAATTGCCATCCGTTCCAACGGTTCGGCCTATCCGTTCGAGAAAAATTGCCTTTCGAAAGGCTCGGGCTATGCGTTGGAAAAAATTGCCATCCGCCGTTCGAACGGCTCGGGCTATCCGTTTACCATCACCTCATGCATGAGTTTTCACGGTACATTTTCTGCTGAATAGCCTTCTTTGCTTTCATAACATTTGATTATCGTTACTATCGTTAATATTCAACAAATTTCCCGAGCAAGTTATGTTTTGACTTTTCGTGTGCAAATTTCAAACGCTTTTGGTAGCCGTGTGAATACACTCTCACTGTCAATAAACTTTGCCTGTTGAAGATACCATCATCTTCCTTCACCATTTCCGGGAAAACAATTAAAAGCTATTACCACGGCACAGATCTGAAAAATAAACTGAACGGTTCCTTGCATCTTTACGGCGGCTTACATATGTTATAAATTTGAATGCACGTGTATATTTTGTCACATTACCTGTGCAACCATTTGTCAGATGAGGACACATACAACGCCGACGCGACCAACTCTGACAAGCTGACCTACTCTGACAAGCTCTGACTATTGGCCACTTTGAGGTTGCACTGTTGACGGGGTCGAGATGGCTTTCAAGTAAGCCATCTCGACCCGGTCAACCGCGCAACCTCAAAGTGGCGAATAGCTATTTTGTCTTTTTGCGAGAAAGCCTGGCAAAAATGTTGACCAATCAGAGCCCGCCATTTACAAAAGCGAGAAATCAAAACAAAATATTGCGTTGCATCAAGGTTGGCAACGGGCCTTCAAAGCAAACATGCAGATTATTGTAACGGCGATCAAGAGAGAGCATAGACCAATAGAGCATAATATCCCATTATTCTTTGTTGATATCACTGAGTAAAAGTTTGCGGACCTGTCCGGAAACCAACTTCCGATGAATTTCAAGCGATTAATAATAATTGGTGTAAAAAAAAACTTTGGATAAATTTACATATCCCAACTAGACTCTGTCACATTAATAAACTGCGTTCGTCCACGCTTTGATCATATGGGTATAACAAAAAGGGAGAAATGCTTGGTGATATCGATAAGGAAATGTTTAGCGCTTTTATGTCCCAGTATTACCTTTTAGTGTCATGTGGTACGGGAGGGTTTGCTTCTTCCCCAAATTTTAGGGGAATTGCCAGACGTTTTAAAAACTTTGGACGATGAGAACGTGAAAAATGCTGGTCAGCATGACATCAACTTTGAAGCCAGCTCTATTGACACAGTCATGCCCTCTGAGTATTGCAGAACCGACACAAACAGTAAAGTCCTCACTGTGAAAACACATTCGTCAGTTAAGCTTACCTTAGGTCCAAAGTAACGCATTCCTTTCGAATTTGTTTGTTTGCCAGGAACTGGGTCGAGATACACAAAATTATATGAGATCTGTAGATTAAAAACAAGGTTAATATGAATAAGCACCGTCTTACTGTCTTAGAAAAAGTGACTTGCAATTAATGGATTATTTTTAGTAAGCTAAATGTAAATAAAAAATTGTGCTTTTCAAAACATAATTTACTCGTGTAGATGTTACAGTACGACTTATTATCACTAAGAAAATTCATGTATATTTGGCTGAGTTATGTACTAATTATTGTAAATTGCATTGTGGCACTTGTCGGGTAACACTAGCAAACGTACCGAAAATGCTTCATCTGTTTTCATACAATCAGATGTCTCTAAACATTTGTCCATTGCAACCTGGAAGCGAAAATAAGACTTCTTGAGCGTAGAGAACAACATGTGCAGAAACTATGGTTTCAACTAAACAGCTGAGTTTTACTCAGTGGTTTGAACTATTTTTCAGGTTCTATACACTGCATGTCTTTTCGGCGTTACCATGCATGCAAAATTTTAGAAGAAATGGAAATCAGTACAAATTCATCTCTCTTTTTTTTGTTTGTTTTTTTTTTTGTTTGTTTGTTTTTTCACTATTCACATGACCGAAAAGTTCATTTGTACTAAAAAATCGATGATTGACTATGTAAAGATGTGAAGTATATGAAATAATTCATATTTGAACTGTGGTTGTAGATGAAAGTGAAGAATGATCATCGCACGCTTTTTGACTATGTAAAGTTAAGCATGTCTTCATCTTAGAAAGTTCTGCTTAGAGCAGAAAAAGGGCATACAGATCTGTACGCTGCAAGTCAACATTATTCTCGAGAAAAAGTCAAGCATTGTTTATTGTTTTGCTTTCCTGCGCATTAACTAATTTACTTTTTCGTATCCATAATGTTTTTAACCTTGGCCACTTCAGGAAGTTTTTCAATAAGTTTTTTCATCATGCAGAACCCATCATCATCTTTGACTTCAATAGCTTCTTTCCAACTGAACAGTAAAAAGATAAAAAGGACATTCAATGCAGCACACTGTAAATAAGAAAGCACCATCGACAGAAGTTTATCGTTAAAGGGAAAATTACACACATAAAAAGTAAACAGAGAAAATTGTCAACAAATCTATTGTAGAGTGACAAAAACCTTAACATTGAGAAGTTTTTGAAAAGTTTATGCTCTTTTTTTTTCTTTTCTTTTCTTTTTTTCTTTCTTTAATTTTCATAATAATCCATTTTTCTAATTCAGTACGAATTAATCCATGTGGTGTAGCTTATATTCTCAGAAAGTTTATAGTTCATAAGTCTTCGGCTTCTATTAATATAGGCTTCCTTGCCATAACCATTTCAAAGATTTGAGAAATAGAATAGTGACTATCCTCTTATTATATATTTTTTCAATTTGTTGTGTTTTGTAAATTACATTAATATACAGTTAATGGTTTATGGCAAAATTAATGAATGAATGAATGAAAGTTGGCCTTGATAATTCCGCAGTAGCTAGAAATAAAACTCCAATGTTCTCACCGTTTGTGTTTCAAAATTTCCAAACTTGTTTCTGATGGTCGAGACCCTTTAATGGCACAATCGAGACATCCTTGACCAAAGACGCACTTGTTAGTCACGCTCGCTCCACGATTTAACAACACTCTTACTATGCGAGCGTTTCCAAAGTATGCCGCTACATCAATTGCTGTTGTCTGTTATAAAAGGAGCAATGAAAAAAAAATTCTTTCACCTACACCCGATAATGCGATGCAAACATACTGAGGTATGCACTCCCTTGAAGGTAATATACTTTTCAAGCAGTTTAGTCTGGTGTAGGGTATAGAAATCAGAGAATTTTGGTCTGGAATTGGGACTCATTATATAATTGGAAATTGACTAACGGTGTGAAGAGTTTCCACTTCATATTTAATCTGGGATGGGATAGGGATTTTTGGTGCCTACCACGTAATTGGGTAGCAGAATTGTACCTGAATATTATCTGGTATAGGTCATCAGTTCCGGAGCCCCAACACCATACCCCACCCAAAAATTCATATTCCCCGGGTATAAAATACCTTTATCGTTGCACCCATCGACCCGACGTTGGCGAAGACAATAAAGCATAATAGAAGAATTGTTCAGTGAATACTATTTTGCTAAATGTTTAAGTAAGTACAGATGATTAGAGAAATATAGAAGCATTAAAGTTAAACTTAAAAATATATTGTAGTTGAATAGTTCTTGCTTCCTACGTCTATGAACAGTGCTGGTAACAATGTAAGACAAATAAACCCTGGGATGACAATGGGGGAGGGGGGGGATCGGGATGGATGCTACCTCCCTGAGGTTTTTCTGAGTTTTTTCCTAGAGAATAAAACATCAGCACCTGAACTTTTTAGTAGCTGTTCGTTCATCCCCTGCGCACATTTTGAGACAAGTTTAGTGATGGTCAGTTGCTATGGTTACAAGATATGACGTCATAAGTAGCAGGTGGCCAAGCCATTTTTGGATGAAAATACATGTTTTTTCAAATTCTTTCTTCTAAAATCATGCAAAGTGCTTATTTATGTGCTATTTTTTCATGTATAGCACAAAAAATTACCATTTCTCGCGGTTTAAGCCTGATTTATAATTCTCGGTAAAATCCAAGACGGCGGCCAAGATGGCGACCATTGTTGGTGACGTCACAGGCCTCCAGCAGCGCCACCATCCATAAAATATACCTCATCTTGTTAAGAAGATCAAACGTTTTCCACTAAAGGTAAAATCGTTTTGAAATACTACGACATTAAAAAACTCCGGGGAGGGGTTCCATCCAGCCCCTCCCTGCCCTTGTACCACGGTATGGGGGTATGAGTTTGCGTGTACATGTGAGGGTTAATTTTGTATTACCCGGTTCTTAGAACGTGCACCAATTTTTGCACCATAGTCCAACAGCAAAATGACAGTCTGGTAATGATCCTTTTGTGCCGCCATCATAAGTGGGGTCAGATGATTTTCGTCTCTAGAAAACGAACAGATAAATGCTAGCTGATGCTTACCTATCAGAGGAGAGAATCCATAGAGGGATATAAGGAAATACAGTGTAGTTTTGGTGCGTCAAGAGATTTTATGTGGAATTTATATCCCAATATGCAGCTGAACCTCCATTAAGCCCAACCCACGGGGTACCGGCAAGTGGCCACTTATTGGAGGTTGGCTGCTCAATAGAGGGTCGCCATAAATTAGCATAATCTTTAGCAGAAACATCACTTTATTTTGAAACAAACACACGCCGGGAGCAGCATATCTTGTCCACAGTTGGTCGGCACCTTCTATCTCGGACTGCATTTCCTTTATCATAGAGCTGATCATATTCTTGATAAACGTAAGACTGTGTCAAGAGCTAGAAGGCCGCCTAACAGAGGTGGCAACAATGGGAGAACTCTTGTTGGGACGACCAAAAGGTGGCCGCTAAAAAGGATAGAGCTTTTAGTTCCCTTTATTTTCTACCATTATTATGGGACTTTGATAACTGGCCGCTTAACAGAGGGTGGCGCGCCGCTCAATGGTGGTTCAACTGCATATCAAAATCAAACATGACCAAACACAACTAATGTAAAAGTACTAATGACCGATTAAAAACGGTTACTGACCTGTAATCGGGATTGGCTCCTTGATCCAATAGGAACTTTACTACATGCACGTGGCCTTCAAAAGCGGCATAATGTATTGGCGTCCTCATTCTGTATTCTGTGTTGTACAGAGACTTCGGGTTGGCTTCTAACAGCAGCTTAACACAAGCGAGATTACCACTCCTAACAAATTCAAGATTTACCAGTAATAGTTGCATAGAAGTTTGGTTTTTACTGCTCAAAGTTCTTGTATGCGTTACAGAGGATAAGGATAAACCATAGTTTGTATGGATAAAGGTGCATTCAGTTCGTTCAAGGCGCGACGCGGATAACGGTTAAAAGAATAGTTCAGTATGAATCTCACTAGTGATTCTTTAGGAAGCACAGGAATTGCAAATTGTAGGAGACAGTAAGGAAAGACAATGTTCATTTGGTTTCGAGACATGAAATCAAAAATTCTTTTACATGTGAAAGAAACTGTTCAAAGTTAGTCTCTGCTACTAAAGGGGTTATTTTTTCTTTTAATTTTTTTTTTGATCACTTATTTCATGTTATTAAGTCAAATAGAGTTAACTTTATTTTTTGATACCCTTACGTCTAATTGTACTTCTAATTTTAATATTATATAGCTTTAATTCTCCTTAAATCTGACCTCGCCCCATATAAGGGAATCCAGATTCCGGAATCCGGGAAATTTTTGCTTATGGAATCCGAAATCCTGGGCTTTGGGATACGGAAAAAAGGTCAAGGAATCTGGAATCCCACTAAAGATTGGAATCCAGAGTATAGGCCCCACTGTCAAAGACTGGAATCCAGCACCTGGAATCCGCAATCCGCGGCGTGGAATTCAGAATCCAAGACTTATTTCTTGGATTCCCTAGCATGGGGCAACCAACCCATGTGTATACGGCAGAACCGGTAACTCGAACTCTTAAGGGAAACGAAAAACAGTTCGAGTTAGCGGGGAATTCGAGTTATCGGGGTAAATTTCAGTGAAATTGTGATCAAGGGAAAGGAAATTTAGTTCGAGTTATAGGGAAATTAGAGTTATCCGAGTTCGAGTTATCGAGGTTCTATACATATACTGTAGTTAGGAGACCGGTTCATTAAAGGGTAAAACATTCCCTGGTAGCAGAGGTCTCTAGCGAGGAAGGTAAAAAGGGGGTTTATGGCATTTCTCGTGGTTCAGGTTTTTCAATAACTCACTCAGCAGCCAAGTGTAATGGAACTTTTTCCTCGTAATCTTTTATATTTACGTCAGCTTCTGCATTAAGTAACGTTTGTACAATCTAAACAGTAAAAAAAGATAGAATTCAGTACTGAAAAACACAAATGTTAGTCTTCAGAGGCACCCAACGAGGACAAAAAAAACCACTTAAACATAGCATTGTTAAACGTATTTTAGTATTTAAACGGTAGGTATAGGCATATTTTTATCCTCTAAAATTCATCTATTCATCTATTCGGATTTCCTAGCTGAAAGAGATCCGAAAATTATAGGGATCAAAACTTACCTTTTCGAAAATTTCAGCCAGAAAAAAAGTTCCCGAAAATTCTAGGTGAACTTTTTAGGTTAAAAATTCGTTAAAATTGGGCAATTATACCAACTTTTAGATGTTCGAAAATCCTAGGAGAGGTAGGCAAGCAAGAGATTTTGCAAAAAATGTTCCGAAAATTCTGGTTCTCAAATCGTCTTCCGAACAGATATTTTCCGAAAATTGACGTTGGGTGCCCCTGAGTCTTCAAAGAGCTTTAAATGAAGCTCAGTGGTTTTTCTCCTATACTATATGTTCAAGGGAAAAGTGATTTGTTCCAAATTCTAAGAAGCCAGTTGGAGCATCATACGCTCACCACGAAACTAGGGATTGGAAAGAATTTATTGGGCTAAGCTAACCTTTAAGCAAGGTGATCGACATTCTCAATGACTTTATATGTATAGGTATTAGAAGGTTTATTGTGCAGCATCGTTGGATATTTTTAGTCAAAATGCAACAGACGAGTAAACGAGTCCCACCATACTACCCTCTACTCGCCATATAAGAGATTTATTATCATTATTATTATTTAATATTAATCAATAAATATGCGCGCCTGCCTAATTGTAACTTTTCAAAATCTACAAACCTGTAGACTCCCATTACAAGCAGCGTGATGGATGGGTGTCCTGTTTTCTTTGTCCACGCTGTAAATCAAATCTCTGCCACCATTCTTAAAATCAAAATAATAATCATTAATTACCCTCCTTCCTTATTGTCACTGGCTAATTTCCAGTTTATAAGTCATACTTCTGGCTTGCAAAATTAGTAGAAAGCTTAAAGGCCAGGGTCAATGGAACGCATACGAACACGATGCTACTGGACAGGAGAGAAACAGATTTTGCTCATTAACATTAGGTTCGACGTTTGACCTGGGGTTAGCTTACAACTAAAGTATATCGTCTACTTGTGTTTTTGGTCATATGGTGCTATGGATATTTGGTTACATTATCAAACGGCCAGGATCACCACCGAAAGTTTAATTCTAGTCTGCGGGCAAGCTCTCCATTTGGGAAAGTCGCGAGAGGTCACACGAGAACCGCACGCGATCTCGCCAGCTAGTTTAACTCTATTGATCACCACTGAATGGTGGGGCGCTCCTCGACATTGAAGAAAAAGACGTTGTGGGAGCGTGTTCTTAGGCGCCCAAATTAGTCCATCCTCACTGACGTAGATTCACTTCTCTTTGACTTATTTTAAGAGCACTTCAGACATGTCTTACCTCAGGAAAGATTGATCTATGCATTAAATTCTTGTTATGCAATAAGACTGAGACTTGATCTGATGTTATGTCACGTGCTAGTTTAAGAACAACTCTAATGTATACAGCTATTTCGAGAAAGGTTGTCGGATAAAGTGCACGCGACAATCCCGAACGGTGGGTGATTTTGAGTTCACTGTTTTTCAAAGAAATTTGAAAGAATGGCAGGAGAGGCCGTGGATATATATCTGCGAGTGCTAAAGGAAAGCAACAAGAGTAGGTTCGACAGCTACAGTGTCAGGAACAGTGTATTGAACATATACCATATTACCTTTTGGGATTGTCGCGTGCACATTTTCTCCGACAACCTTTCTCGAAATAGCTGTAAACCTGGGTGGACACGGCGCGTCTCACAGTCAATGGATCATGGGGTATAAATCTCAAATATTCAAGTCTATCGCAATTGAGACTTAATCACCTTTAAGATAATATCCACTGTGTCCGCATTACCACTGTGTGCAGCTACGTGGAGGCAGGTTCTGTGATAAGAGTCTGTAAAGTCTATTAGAGCTCCGCGCTGGAGAAGGAACTTAATGGCGTCGTGGTGGCCGTTCTTCACAGCACACATCAGAGGTGAAGGAGCCGTACAACCTGATAATGGGTTGATGCTTGCCCCCTAAGGGGACATGGACAGATTAACAAAAGAACTACTGCACCTGGTAATGGGTCGATACTTTCCCACGAAGGGAAACATGGAGAGATTATATTCAAGAAGCAACAAACATTGGGTTAAAGAAGATCCGAAATACTGGGTCAGTTTTATATATTCAAAATTTTTTCTCCAAACTGCTAAACCTTAACTACAAGTGTATATCTTCGGTATTCGACGGGCAGGATGGACAAGATTGTTTGAAAAAGATCGATTGGGCGAACTTTTTCAAGTTAAATCCCAGCCTGTGTTCCAAAAAAATTACCAAAAAAACGAACATGCTCTGTTTTTCCTTTGACAGAATCCTTTAATATCTTTCTTTTTAAGTTCTACTTATGAGAAGAATTGACTGCGGAGATTTTGATTTAATTTCAGTTCAGCTTCGGCCAAAAGATGTGTTACTCACCATAGACTACGAGTAGTCCCCCATTTTTCCTCAAGGATAGTAGAGCGAGCGAAGCGCGAGCGCGCGTGAAAATCAACCCACGCGAGAAAAGACGACACGCGGCGGGAAGAGAGAAAAATTTTTTCTCTCTTCCCGCCGCGTGTCGCCTTTTCTTGCGTGGGGAGACTTTCACGCGCGCTCGCGTTTCGCTCGCTCTACTATCCTTGAGTAAAAATGAGGGACTACCCGTAGTCTATACTCACCACGACACGGCCCTTTTAACAACAGAACTATACATGCGGTGGAAACGTTTTACTAATTGAAAGATTTTAACGAATTTGACTGAAGACGACTACCATTCAGTCGGCCATTCACTATCTCAGCAACAGTCCAATTATTAGGACTACACTCACCACGACGCTCATAAATAACCATTATGACATGACTCCTGGGTTCAAAACTATTACAAATTTAAAGGGAATCGGTAAGAAAAAGTTGTGAAATTGACGGTCTAAATAACTTGAACCAGTCCGCGGTTAAACAACTTACTGTTGACATTAACCGGGTAAAGGAAAGCTTAGACTGGCAACATTATTGTAGGAAAGTATTAAGTACTCTCTATTTCTGTTATTCATTGTGCGTAACCAAGAGAGAAGGAGCTAAAAAGAATTAAAATCCAATGACCCCCCTCCCTCCCAGAAAATGATAAGATAAAATAACTAAAATAATAAATAAGCAAAGACAAATAAAATAAATGACTTTTTTTTTTTCAAAAATGTAAGTTCGATCTTAGTTGGGACTTGAATAAAAGCATTCTTCGTAGAAAAATTTACCTTGTTAATGAGATGTTCAATGACTTCAACGTTACCACTCAAGGATGCCCTGAAAGCAAACAAAACAAATAAACCAATACAACAAAGGCGCGGATAGAGCATAAATATAAAGTGGATTGTCAGCAAAATGACAAATTAAGAGCAATTGAAGTTGCCCCATGCAAGCGAATCCGGGAATTTTTTGATTGTAGAATCTGGAATCCAGCATATTTTTGCTGTGGAGTCCGGAATACAGCTCAAGAAGTCCGGAATTCCACTAGCTGTTGGAATCCGGAATCCCGGTTCCACTGGCAAAGAATCTGGATCCAGTACCTGGAATCCGGAATCCACTGGTGGGAATCCAGAATCCAAGCAATGGATTGATTGCCAGTAGGAGTGTCCTCATTACATGCAACTGTTATATAAACTGTAATTGGCCTGCTGACACAGACGTAAACGAAATACGTCTGTGTCCGCAGAAAGAGATTGAAGGTTATTCGCAGAGAGAACCCTATTGTAAGGTTATGTAGGTACGTTGAGTTGTGGCGAAAATGACTTAAGGATTAACGTCAATTTTTTTTAACAGTGTGCACGAGTTTGCCCCCCCAAACCCCCCCCCCCTTCTTCCCCTCTCCCCCCCCCCCCCAAAAAAAAAACAAAACAAAGTGGGGAGGGTTGTCCAATACTCACAAATAGACTCCATTGGTGTTAGTGGTGATAAGAAGGGTCTCCATTGGTACCAATGGTACGATTGGTACCAATAGAAAAGCACCCTATTCCAATGGTTCTATTGGTGAATATGCATCTCATTAAGCAGACTTAGATTATTTTCGCATGTGACCTGGTTGGGTACAGGGCAATTCCAATGGTCCATTGGTACCAAAGGTACGATTGGTACCAATGGAAAAGCACCCTATTCCAATGGTTTTGTTCGTGAATATGCATCTCATTAAGGAGACTTAGATTATTTTCTCATGTGGTCTAGCTGGGTACAGAGCAATTCCAATGGTCCATTGGTACCAATGGTACGATTGGTACCAATAGAAAAGCACCCTACTCCAATGGTTCTATTGGTGAATATGCATCTCATCAAGGGGACTTAGATTATTTGCTCATGTGGTCTGGCTGGGTACAGGGCAATTCCAATGGTCCATTGGTACCAATGGTACGATTGGTACCAATAGAAAAGCATCCTATTCCAATGGTTCTATTGGTGAATATGCATCTCATTAAGCAGACTTAGATTATTTTCGCATGTGACCTGGTTGGGTACAGGGCAATTCCAATGGTCCATTGGTATCAATGGTACGATTGGTACCAATGGAAAAGCACCCTATTCCAATGGTTCTATCGGTAAATATGCTTCTCATTAAGGAGACTTAGATTATTTTCTCATGTGGTCTAGCTGGGTACAGGGCAATTCCAATGGTCCATTGGTACCAATGGTACGATTGGTACCAATGGAAAAGCACCCTATTCCAATGGTTTTGTTCGTGAAAATGCATCTCATTAAGGAGACTTAGATTATTTTCTCATGTGGTCTAGCTGGGTACAGGGCAATTCGAATGGTCCATTGGTACCAATGGTACGATTGGTACCAATGGAAAAGCACCCTATTCCAATGGTTTTGTTGGTGAATATGCATCTCATTAAGGAGACTTAGATTATTTTCTCATGTGGTCTAGCTGGGTACAGAGCAATTCCAATGGTCCATTGGTACCAATGGTACGATTGGTACCAATAGAAAAGCACCCTATTCCAATGGTTCTATTGGTGAATATGCATCTCATTAAGGGGACTTAGATTATTTGCTCATGTGGTCTGGCTGTGTACAGGGCAATTCCAATGGTCCATTGGTACCAATGGTACGATTAGTACCAGTGAAAAAGCACCCTATTCCAATGGTTCTATTGGTGAATATGCATCTCATTAAGGGGACTTAGACTATTTTCTCATGTGGTCTAGCTGGGTACAGGGCAATTCCAATGGTCCATTGGTACCAATGGTACGATTGGTAACGATGGAAAAGCACCCTATTCCAATGGTTCTATTGGTGAATATGCATCTCATTAAGAGAGTTAGATTATTTTCTCAAGTGGTCTAGCTGGGTACAGGGCAATTCCAATGGTCCATTGGTACCAATGGTACGATTGGTACCAATGGAAAAGCACCCTATTCCAATGGTTCTATTGGTAAATATGCGTCTCATTAAGGAAACTTAGATTATTTTCAGATGTGGTCTGGCTGGGTACAGGGCAATTCCAATGGTCAATTGGTACCAATGGTACTATTGGTACCAATGAAAAAGTACCCTATTCCAATGGTTCTATTGGTGAATATGCATCTCATTAAGGGGACTTAGACTATTTTCTCATGTGGTCTAGCTGGGTACAGGGCAATTCCAATGGTCCATTGGTACCAATGGTACGATTGGTACCGATGGAAAAGCACCCTATTCCAATGGTTCTATTGGTGAATATGCATCTCATTAAGAGAGTTAGATTATTTTCTCAAGTGGTCTAGCTGGGTACAGGGCAATTCCAATGGTCCATTGGTACCAATGGTACGATTGGTACCAATGGAAAAGCACCCTAATCCAATGGTTCTATTGGTAAATATGCGTCTCATTAAGGAAACTTAGATTATTTTCAGATGTGGTCTGGCTGGGTACAGGGCAATTCCAAAGGTCCATTGGTATCAACGGTACGATTGGTACCAATGAAAAAGCAGCCTATTCCAATGGTTCTATTGGTGAATATGCATCTCATTAAGGGGACTTAGATTATTTTCTCATGTGGTCTAGCTGGGTACAGAGCAATTCCAATGGTCCATTGGTACCAATGGTACGATTGGTACCGATAGAAAAGCACCCTATTCCAATGGTTCTATTGGTGAATATGCTTCTCATTAAGGGGACTTAGATTATTTTCTCATGTGGTCTAGCTGGGTACAGGGCAATTCCAATGGTACTATTGGTACCAATAGAAAAGCAACCTATTCCAATGGTTCTATTGGTGAATATGCATCTCATTAAGAGAGTTAGATTATTTTCTCAAGTGGTCTAGCTGGGTACAGGGCAATTCCAATGGTCCATTGGTACCAATGGTACGATTGGCCTCATCGCAAGCTACAGCCGAGAAAAGAGCACGGCAAATACAATTTGTCAAGGACAACGTTGACATTAAATACATCAATGGTTTTACTACGACCTTGATTATAGCACGACAAACCCCACGTCAACAGTCAAAAGTGACTTCAGTCACTTGAATATAAAACGGCTCTCTTAGGAGCAATAGCATGATATAACCACCCTTTTCGGAAACTCTTCATTGAAAACTTGTTTTGGTTTAAACGCTTCCTTGTAGATAATGAAATTGCGCTAAGAAATTTCAGAAGTTAATTTCACAGTGAGTTGAGTACAGTTGTTAAAACCTGTTGCCTCAATACCACTTTGCTAGTTTCGCGCCTTTCCGCGTTGTTTCGGGTTCTTTTAACAAGTAAGAATTACCGAAAAATAGTGCTTGCGTACAGGAAAGAAGACATTCATATGTCATGTTGTTGTTTGCTCGTGAATCACAATAAACAGAACGAACACGACAGTGACGCGTTACCTTTCAATTTTGATGTTCGTACGATGTTTGTTATACTCGCAGCATCTTGAGATATTATTAGCGCTAGATATATAGGTCGCCCTCGCTTTGTAACTATTAGCGCGTTTCTACTTTGTGTGAAAGCGAACTTGTTTTGCGCGGTTAGCCTATAGAGCGAGGAATATTCATAAGAATTATGGCGCGTTTTTAATTGGTGTAACAGCGAACTTGTTTTGCGCGGTTGGCTTATAGAACGAGGAATATTCATGATAATTATTAGCGCGTTTTTACTTAGTGTAAAAGGCAACTTGTTTTGTGTGGTTGGCTTATAGAACGAGGAATATTCATAATAATTATTAGTTCGTTTTTACTTGGCGTAAAAGCGAACTTGTTTTGCATGGTTGGCTTATAGAACGAGGAATATTCATAATGATTATTAGCGCGCTTTTACTTGGTGTAAAAGCGAACTTGTTTTGTGTGGTTGGCTTATAGAACGAGGAATATTCATAATAATTATTAGCACGTTTTACTTGGTGTAAAAGCGAACTTGTTTTGCGTGGTTGGCTTATAGAACGAGGAATATTCATAATAATTATTAGCACGTTTTTACTTGGTGTAAAAGCGAACTTGTTTTGCATGGTTGGCTTATAGAACGAGGAATATTCATAAGAATCATAGCGTGCTTTTACTTGGTGTAAAAGCGAACTTGTTTTGCGTGATCGGGATATAGAACGAGGAATATTCATAAGAATTGTAGCGCGCTTTTACTTGATGTAAACTTGTTTTGTGTGGCTGGCTTATAGGACGAGTAATATTCATAAGAATTATAGCGCGCTTTTACTTGGTGTAAAAGCGAACTTGTTTTGCGTGGTTGGCTTATAGAACGAGGAATATTCATAATAATTTTTAGCGCGTTTTTACTTGGTGTAAAAACGAACTTGTTTTGCATGGTTGGCTTATAGAACGAGGAATATTCATAATAATTATTTAAAGCACGTTTTTACTTGGTTTTAAAGCGAACTTGTTTTGCATGGTTGGCTTATAGAACGAGGAATATTCATAAGAATCATAGCGCGCTTTTACTTGGTGTAAAAGCGAACTTGTTTTGCGTGATTGGGATATAGAACGAGGAATATTCATAAGAATTATAGCGCGCTTTTACTTGATGTAAAAGCGAACTTGTTTTGCGTGGTTTTCTTATAGAACGAGGAACGTTCATAATAATTATTAGCGCGTTTTCACTTGGTGTAAAAGTGAACTTGTTTTGCACCAATAGAACCATTGGAATGGCATCATTTTCCATTGGTACCAATCGCACCATTGGTACCAATGGACCATCGGAATTGCCCTGTACCCAGCCAGGTCACATGGCAAAATAATCTAAGTCCCCTTAATGAGATGCATATTCACCAATAGAACCATTGGAATAGGGTGCTTTTTCATTGGTACCAATCGTACCATTGGTACCAATGGACCATTGGAATTGCCCTGTACCCAACCAGGTCACATGAGAAAATAATCTAAGTCCCCTTAATGAGATGCATATTCACCAATAGAACCATTGGAATAGGGTGCTTTTCCATTGGTACCAATCGTACCATTGGTACCAATGGACCATTGGAATTGCCCTGTACCCAACCAGGTCACATGGGAAAATAATGTAAGTCCCCTTAATTAGATGCATATGCACCAACAGAACCATTGGAATAGGGTGCTTTTCTATTGGTACCAATCGTGCCATTGGCACCAATGGACCATCAGTTTGACGAATCGTATCCGTTTGTGTTTATTGGACATGTGTGGTTTGATCGTCCGGGTGAACGTAGTCCTAAATAGGACTGTTGTTGACAGTGACTGACGTTTCGACAACCTTTGCGGTAGTCATCTCCAGAGTCAAAGTGAGTTGTATCACGCCAGTTGATGATATCATACTCTGGTTATTGATCTGATTGGTCAATTATGTCGCGATGTTATTGGTCGTCTGTAAGTTAAGCCGTGATGTTATTGGATATGAAGACTCGTCATCAGTGATTGGTGCGTTCCGATCCGTCTATTGTCACAGTTAAACAGTCGTCTATTGTTAGTCAAATTGTCAGTTCTCCCAGTTGTTCTCTCGTCGTTAGTTTTGCTTTAGTTTTGCTTTAACAAAAGTAAGTTTTAAAAAAAATAAAATAAATATTCGGAGCCAACTTTCCTCATTTGCAGCCAATGGCTAAATTGCGGAGGAACCAGAGAGGTGAGGCGCACTCTTGCAACCACTTCAGTCCATGTTTTGATCACGCTCGCCCACCCAGACCAATGACGCCACAAGTCAGATAGACCATGACATCCTTTATAAAGTATCTATTTTTCCTGGTTTATTTCTCAACAGTGGGAAAATATAATGATGCAGATAATTTTTTTTTTATCATAATTAACAGCGTCAACCAATGGCGCTAAAATAAAGCCCCACGCTGTCGAAACCAAACAATTTTTACCACATGTGACTGCGGTCAAAATAAACCGAAGCAATATAATTACTATCTTGCGGGGATAATGAGTGCAACAAAAAATAATTCATAATCCTTAACAGCCTTGAGCGTAAAATAAGGGGCAAAGTCTAGCGTTCTTCAAGCGCCATTTGTCAAAACGTTTCAACTCTTTCACATCAAAGCTCATCAATATTTTAAGCCTGAATGAGATAAGGTCCTTTCGTTTCTATCACAAAAGGCCGGCAAGCTTTTTTACGCTCGGCCTTATTAAGTCTTGAAGGAAAATGAGTTTTTGAACTTATTTAGAATCTGACTAAAGGATAACAAAATCTCATAAAAATAATGAGAATGAATACGATAAGCCAGAAGCAATTACATGACAAGTACCCCTGTTGATATGAAATCAACCAAATCCTGTGTGGTACATCTAAAAGTCTAGTAAAGCGTTCGGGAAAGAAAACAATTCAGCGGAGTTAATCAAGCGAATAAATCGTGAAATATGAGCAAGTTGCGTAAGTATATTATCAGTTGATTATATCAGAAAATAGAGGCTACATCAGCTTGCTAACCCGCATCAACTGTCTTTAAGTCAATTTAATGTGATGCCAATTCTTGATTATTCAGGTACTCTCTCTTCACGAAAAGAGCTGCTTGGCTATCATAAGTCGGACGTTTAACCTTATGAACCAAACGAATACTCATGTCTTTCGTCAACACAAATGCCTTGCAAACATCAGCATAAGTGTTACAAATCTTAGCAGCTTGAGTGAGCGTCTTGATCTTAAATGCACACATCCCTCGCTTTACAGAACTGGAACACGCAAAATCGCCATGACCGTGAACTGTGGTTTTGCGCAAGACGATGTATTTGTTAGCAATGAAACTGAGTTGGAAATCTGTTATATTTGCTTCAAACCACTCTTCTTTAATGCTAGAAATTGAACTGGCCGATTTTGAATAATCCGTGCAGAGCAGTGCCAGACAGAACCATCCTCCAAGAGCTATGCAGAGAAAGACGACGACCTTCAAAATGGTTCTCAATTTCAAAAGAGCCTTTGCGTTTTTCCAAAAGTCCTGATTAACGACCATTGTAATATTTTAAGATATATTCGTTAAAACATCACTGAGTTCTTAAAGTAATTTAAATCCTTTCGACGGTCCTTAATAATTTATAATCCCGATTGGATACAATGGATGCACAGCTGCTTGTAGGTTCTTTCAACTCTGAAAATTGTTTACCCCCCAAAAATATTGTTAATGAATGCAGCTGAATATGATATGAGTGAAGACTTCTGCCTGTTACTCGCAGCAGTTTTAAAAGTTCTAGGAGTGACGTTCTCGGGTCATGATCAATAGTGGATAACCTACAATTAATATAAATCTTTTATGACCCCTAACCAACTGACATCAATGATGGTATAACCTAACATTTTAGAAATCTGGTCAGCGCTGGTTAGTTATCAAGAATTATGCCGGCCAGGATCAAAACCATCAAAAACGGAGAATAAATGAATGACAATCTAGTTCTAAGGGAAACGAACTTTAAAAGTGACAAAACTATTTGTCGGGGAATTCAAGTAAACGTCAGCTGTCAGCGCGTGATGTTTGCCCAAAATCATTTCTCGGGATAGAAAGCGCGAGCGGGTGTCTTCTTTCGCGCGCTGCTCGCGGACTAGCAATCTGGAGGTCCCGGAATTCGAGTTCTGCTTTAACCATAAGATGTGGATTTGTCTTCGATCTTGGTTATCCCAAGTTCAA